GGTGTTGTATAGGACCGTAAAAACACATGCGGGTATACACAAAAATTTGAATTAATATTACTCTCAATTCAATATGAAAAGAGAAGTAAAGCTGACAAAATGTACATATCACATCAGATGCATCATTCAACCGCAGGCAGGAATTTAATTGCAAGACCTTTAGAGTTATATAGATACATACTCGAAAGAGCAATACAAGTTGATGCTTGTTCTGACAATAGCCTTGTGCTAGAGGGTAAAAAAAAAAAACTTCTTTTAATCTATATCTTTCTTTCTTTCTTTATTTTTAGAGGCACATCATATCGACCGCTGCATGATCTTACAATTTGCGTGGAAAGATGGTGTATTATCTTATTACTGGCTGGGTACCAGTTTAATGAACGGACTCAAAAGAATCGATCGTCAAGTCATGGTAGAACCAGTGCGCACTGCTTGTGAACGGAAGCCTCACTTGTTTACAATGGCGTCTTAGAAGACGGACTTTCCCAAGATTAGATCTAAACGAAACTAATGAAAAACTGAAAATTAAACTGCAGTGACTTGAGACCTCTTGATAAAACAATGCACCCTTTAAATGATTCTGAACCACCGTTAATTTTTTTCGAATTCAAAAGTTAAGTAGTTCGGAAGTTTTAAGTGACCAAAGTGACGAACTTCCACAACATAATATTATATAATATTATGTATATTAGATGAGCGTGAGGATTTCCCAGCGTATTTTCTTACCCAGCGTAATCTTAGCAGACGAGTCAGACGGGACGAGGAACACGATGGGGAGCAGCCACACCAACACGAGAACCGGTGACGTCACCATGAACTCCTCCACCAATCGGTGTCGAGCCAGCTTCAAACTTATCCTGACGTCATCACTCTTCTCGTGAGTGGAGACCTCGCCCTCCGGAAGTAGAACAAACAGAGACGACTCCTGGAGAGCCCAGCCGTGGGAGAAATGCGTGGAAAACTCGCCGGGCGCCGAGTGTGTGGGAATTCCCGGACCGTGTGTGTTGACGAAGTGCACCACGACGCCCTCTGTCTTCTGGACGTGGTGGTGGCCCAGGGGGAGAGTCACGTCACACCTCCGGACTTCTGCTGGGAATTTGGAGATGTCAGAGGAGCAGCCCGCCTCCGCCGTGACAGTGACCACCCAGCTGACCAGCCCGCTGTGGTCCAGTGTGACGGGGGACTGTCTGCAGACATGCAGCAGCTGGTGGCTACAGTTTTGAGGGA